ACAAAAAAGTTCCTTGCGATCCTCCTTTACATGCACGATCTTTGATTTCTGACGATGTAAGATCAAATTGAGCTGCAAGTGTGCTCCCTCTCTGCCTTTCATGCCGCTTCAATATCCCGGCGTGAAAAAACAAAGAAGGCAAAGACTGAGGGAAAATCTGAAGCGTTCTGCCACTCAACATCCCCCCGTTCCCAAACAACAGCGTCTCACTGCCACTACAAATACATTAGAAATCAATTATTTATGGAACAGAGTCAGGGCCTCTTTAATCTTTTCCTTTTATCCAATTAAATTGTCTAACCATTCTAAGCCTCCGCAGCTCACAGGGAATGTGCTTCTTTCTAAAAAAAAAGAGAGAAAAGAAGAAAAAGATTTTCTCTTCAGTCCTTTTGACTTTCGATGTAACGGAGAAGAGACACTTCTGAGGGTTGAGGAATGAAAAGGAAAGAAAGTGAGTAAAGTGTAAATGAACCCCCGCCCGCCCCGTCACCATTGCATTGGTTCTACAGGAACTATTTGAAGTTTCGATATTAAGACGCCGGTTCCATTCCCCCCTCGCGAGGGGACGCTGGGGAGCGTTGAGGCCTTTCATGATTCCTTTATGCCCAGCTGAAATAGTTCGAAAGTATTTGCGATCATCTCCATGGGGGGGTGAACGCGACGCCGCTTCAATTGCCGTCCTGTATTATTCAAGAAGCCAATTGAAGTAGCGTCGCGAAAATTGAAAATGCTCACTTCCGACGCAGCCGCATGAAATGATTGATATCTCATTGTAAAACACCGCTGTCTGTTATCCTACAGAGGGACTGTCAGAGGAAACAAAAGAGAAGCTTTACATTCTTACACTTTGTGGATTCGTGTTGTCGCCCCACAATGAGAGACGATATAGACGAGGAAGAACGGAGCCCAATGTGTCGATGAATCAAAGACCTCGATTCTTTCAGTTCAAGTGCGATAACTTTAGTCTTAAGACGTTTGAAAATGTTTCAACAAAATGCAATTAATTGACAACAAAACCAATTGTAGACCATTTGGATAGTTGATTAACCATTCAAGTGACTCATGAAGTGAAAATGCCAAACATTCTCAAGTTTTCTACCAGTGTAGAAATATACAATATTTGTGTTTTGGACCTACGGTCAGTCTGACATCACCTTGGGCTCGTGGATCATTTTAATAAGAGTTTTCCACAACTTTTTGATATGTGTAAGCATGTGAATGGCTGTTTTTGTGGTTGTTCCTTGGTTCTCTGAGAGCCGGTCCAACCAAACAAGCACATAGGCGGACATTTTTCACCCTTTTCCTTTCCATAAAAAAATGAGCACTTTCATCAATAAGAAATATGATGATTAGCCTCAGCCCTAGTTTATGTTACTATTTTGCAATCTATCGCTTTTTTGTCATTCCACGCAGTGCCACACAGTTTGAACTTTGGCCAATCACAGCATTACTTACTGTCATTTACTTTATGTCCTCCGTATCCCCATCGGAGCTCATCATCTACTCGGGGAAAAAAAGCGCTTGGCATGATGGGACACAGCGGCGGGGCCCTGGGATTAATCTAATTATCCATTTCCTGTCAAACAGTATAGAGCTGAAGGGATTTGTCGATCAATCGTTTAATCGATTGACAGAAAATTAATCTGCAAAGATTTTGGCAGAAGCAGGTCAAAAAGACTCGGCTGGTTCCAGCTTCTCTACTGTGAGATTGTTGCTGGTTTCCTGTACCTGTGTCTTAAACTGGATATCTTACATTATTATTTTGGCTTGAGGGTCAGATAATATGAAATTCTGATGGACATTTTGTAGTCTGAACGATTGATCAAGTCATCAAAGAAACGCTCCGGATGAATCGCAGCGTTGTGTCTGACGTGACATGCCATCCGGTTTTATTTACGTCTTCTCGGCGCCTTCAGACTCCGTCGGCCTTTAGAGCAATATTGAGGAGTAAGAACAGCGTAGAGTAACGTTGGAGGCCGACTGTAAACCGCCTCTCTGTTCCGTGTGAACTCACGTGTGTCTGTGCATACGCTATACATGCATCTGTGTTTGTATATACTCGTCTACATGTGTGGCATGTCTGGTGCAAAGAGGTTTTTTTTTTTTCTCCCATTGTGTGTGTGTGTGTGTGTGTGTGTGGTAGAAGCGTGCGTGCTGTACACACAGCCGCGCACAAATAGCTCCTGAGGGCCCTCGCGATCACAGACTGCCAAAAGGAAAAGGATTTCCGAGAGGTTTCCTTCCTCGCTATTTAAAGTGGGGGCCCCCCTGTGGGACATGTTTGGCATTCTCATCCACTCACTGAAGATGGCCTGTGATCTGAAGCCACTAACAGGCTCGGCGTGCTCCCTCTCTGTCTCCCGCTCTCCCTCTCTCCCTTTCCCTTTCCCTCTGGCTCTCTGAAGTGATTACCCTGCTTGTGATTCCGCTGACACCCACATGTCCCCCCCGAGACGTGCCTTCACTAGTTTGTTTAATCTGCCTCCCTGTACAGTAGGTAACGCAGCCGTAATTGAGGTGTGGATAGAGCCGTGGGAGCAGATGAAAACCAATAGCAGGATTTTTTTCTGTAAGTCGCAGATGACAGCAGTTGCCGAATGAATGTACAAAAAAAAATGCTGCTGTGATAAGAATTCAGAATGTTAACAGCTAAACGTCTTCAACGGCAATCCGTCAGCCCTTTTGTTTCCCTAATGTGTCCCCAGTCAATAAGCGGCACAAATGCCGCCGTTTCAACGAGGATTTCTTCCCGAAATTTTGCTGGAAAAGTTGCAACTGCCATTAGCAACTTCTCTCCGCCGAGGCAAGAAAAAAGATAATGAGTTATCTGAGATTATGAACACCATTAGCGGGCCTCGCAGTCAAGCAGATATTTGATCTCAACAACACACCACTTCCAAAAGTTGCTCTGATACCTGAGACAGATTTCCGCGTTTGAATTTCTCGATATGAAAAACAGCGAGTTGGAACTGTGTAAAATGCGAGCATCAGATACTCTATCTCCCCCCCCCCCCGGTTAGTGTCTCGCCTCTGTCTGTGACACGCTTGAACTGCTCCGTTCAGAACATACAGGGTGTCAATCATTGCTCCGAATCAGCCTTTAGATGAAGCCCAAAAAACCGATCCCATACAACTGAACTTGAATTAATTAAATATACTGTATCGTGCTTCCTCTGAGAGATTGCATCTGTTCTCAGATGTGTTAGGATATAAAACATTCTCAGATATCTTTTTAAACCCTGTTATTGTAAGATACCAGTAATTAAATTGACAGTGTTATTAATTGGGTTGAAGATAACTTGCATTGAGTCGAGGACATCTTAAACTCAATTAAAGATATCTCCAACTCAATTAAAGATATCCAAATGCCATGTCCCGCAATATGCAATCAGGCTCTTTCTGGCGCAATAATATCAGTTCACTTGTGCCCCCTTTCTTCTTACAAAGACTTCGTTGTACTTCTAAAGTTTTCTTTTTTATCACTTCAAGGCCTTGATTTTGTTGAAATAGATGTCGCCCATGTCACACTTTGGCGAAGCATTCGGTTTCTTTAATGTGGCATAATTATAGTATTTAATCCTTCCTTATCCAGCGCTTGAAATAGAAATGAAGATTAGGCACTTCTGACATCGTTTAAAGGGATGGCTCCACATTATTTTGGGAGCGAGGTAGTGCGAGTGGATGCACGGGCAGCAGCCCAGCTTATAGATCCTCCTGGTGAGCCGAGCCGGCTATCGGACAGAAATGAACAGGTGTAAATGGAGGCAGGTAGCTACAACGTCTTCAACTAGTTCTAGATCTTAAATACATGATTAATCAGCAGGAAGTTCATCAGCAACTATGTTGATAATCAATTAGGCCCCAACTCTCTTATTAAATGCTCAACATGAACTATTTCCTTCTTCTCAAACGTTAAGATTGGATGTCTCTTCTCATTATTAAATTGAAAATTTGTTTGTTTTTAACCGTTGATCAGAGGAAACGAACCATTTGCGGATGCCAACTAGAGCTTCCAGAACTTGTGATCGGCACCAAATGTTAATCATTTGATTGGAAAAATGAGATTTGCAAACTAGTGGATCATTTTTTGACCTCTGTCGGTTTATGTGATGGCCACCGGTTTTAATCATTTCACTTTGGCGTGACGGATGGCTCTACGACGGATGGAAATACTACAGTACCCATGAGCCTCAGCTATTTGGAGACGAGGCCGGTTGAAGGTGCAAATCAGAGCTGCTGCACATTCAAAGCGTTAGATCTGCACTTGTAACAAAACATAGTTGTTAAATCAATCCAAAATTGACCTTGAATTTTATTTATTTCGGCAGTTACCGGTGTAGATAATAGGATGTTAAGCTCTGTGATTGGATGTTTCTTACCGAGACACGCCTTCGGAGTCATAGTTAACTTCTCTCCTTGTGTTTTTGTTCACACACAGGCTTGTTACAATGTGATCACTGATGATTCAAACAGGAGCGATTGCTCCGACTCTGAGTCACTAACACTGTCTACGGGAGAGGAATGGGACTGTTACTCAAACAAGGGGCACATAAAACAGCTCCTCCTCAAACTCAACTTAATAAATAATCATGGAAATGAGCATTAGTTGTTTGCCCTCTTTGGCTCTCTTCGTATCATGAAACTATTCATGATGTCTCCGGGATAATAGATAAGTGATCTTTGCTATTGAAAGGATTATTTTGACATAATGTTGAGAAACATACAGTAAATCTCCGGCAAAGCCCGTTTCTCTTGACCCGGGACGCTTCCTATCAGGCTGTTTATTATGATCAGAGCATCAGCCAGTGCATGGAAAGAAAGTCACTCTTTACAGTAGCCTATACACGATTGGATATTTTTCTTTGATCTCGATGGTGTTTTCAGTGAGTGGATTGCGACTGTTGGTTCGCCGAAGAAATGTTCTCTGACCTCTGAATTATCTGTGGCTTTACACTGAATCTGTTCTCAGCCTGCCCGCCTCTTCCTCTCCCTCTCCCCAGGGCGCTGTGCCAGCTGCGGAGAGAACGTGGTGGGTGAGGGCACCGGCTGCACCGCCATGGACCAGGTCTTCCATGTCGACTGCTTCGTCTGCATGACCTGCAGCACCAAGCTGCGCGGCAAGCCTTTCTACGCTGTTGAGAAGAAGGCGTACTGTGAGCCTTGCTATATTGTAAGTCACTTTTTTTTTTTTTCTTCTCTGCCCCACCACCTAGCTTTTGGCTCACTCCGGTTACTTATGTGTCCGTGTTTCAAGTGGACACATTATGATATCAGGGGTGGGCACATTGGCAGCCTTGTGCCTGGAATGTTCATAGATATTTTTTCTCCAGGCAACCACATTTCGTTTCATCAAAGCCCGGCGTGCTTCCACCTCTCACCGCACACATCTTCATTTCCTCTTTTTCTGTTTCTTTGGCTTTGTTTTGTTTTCGGTCACCCAGTGAAACTGTCTTTCATCTTCCCCTGAAAGTGCTTTCTTAGAGTTACACAATTGACATATGGTTGAAGTACGTAGACATGAGAAGATGCTGGAAATAATGTAACTCACAAGATAAGTTACATTATTATATGAATGTGTTAGCAGCAGAGGTGGGACCAAGTCTCTGTTTTGCAAGTCACAAGTAAGTCTCAAGTCTTTTCACTCAAGTCCCAAGTCAAGACAGGCAAGTCCCAAATTATGTCCCAAGTCAAGCAGGAAATTACGTTTCACGTCAAGAGCGACAAGTCCCGAGTCACATCCCAAGTCAAGACAGGTAAGTCCAAAGTCAAGTCTCAAGTCCCGACTGATAATGTATCAGTGTGGTGTTTACAGCTTGGTATGCTGCCCATAAGGAACCAATCATTGCAGGTTTAGACAATTGTGGCCTTTTGTTGATGTGGCAGCAGAGCCAAATGTTAACAGCAGCTATGGGATGAATTAATGGCTTCAGAGTTGTCTTGGCGACCCACTACGCACTTTTTCTAGCCCATTTGTTCCCCCTGAACAATGATATCACAGATGCATTCATTGTCTTCTTATAATAGAGGATTTTCAGATGTCTCTTCCTTGGTGAATTAGATGATAATGATATTGTTTTCACACGCACATCGTTGAGTGAGCTGATGCATAACTATCTGGAGTTCCAGCTGATAAGCAGTGAGATATGGTTTGAATGCTACTTACATGGTATTAATTCTCTTTATGGATTACGTAACACAGGAGGTTCTGTCTCCTCTATTATCTCATCTTAACTTTTCTTAATCAGTCTTCTGGTCGTTGACTAGACTGAATAAATGACTGACAGCAAGATATCCCAGAAGGAGTCTTAATTTATCCGGTCTTACAGGACCGTGAGCTATTCTGTTGTCGCTATTTGTTGAGCAACACGCATGAAAGTATTTCCTTGCACAACACTGTCAGGGAAGACGCACCATCCTGCAAAACCGCAAGAAAAAAGTTTTGCAGAAGTTGTTTCCCTCATTCGATTTCTTAAGAATATGGTTGAGTTTTGTCTGGATGTGACACGGTGGAAGTTTCTTATTGTCAGCAAGATCGTGGGTAAGTTTGAAGGTCATTCCTGGAAGCTTAGAAGGGAAGTGGCTGTGCAATGCAAATGGACCGTTTTGTGTCATGGATTTTACTGTAACTTTCACTCTGGTTTTCATTGAGAAATATGCGATGAGGCTGAGCAAATTAAGCCAGTTAAGAAAAAATATGAATAAAAGGATAACCTCCAATTTGTACTCATCAAAGTCTGTTTAAAGGTGTCAAGTAGCGCTACAACATAATGTGAACTAAGTTGTATGAAGACTTAGAGCTGTCGCAGCAAGTGAAATATTGCAATGTAGTATATAATATAAGCCAACTGCAAGGGATATCAAATACACCAGGCGCCAAGCTTCTATTCTTCACTGTCACTGTTTCATTGTCTAATCACCATGGAGGAGGGGCGGGACGACGTCCAACCGTCACATTCAACATGTAGGCTGCAGGACGAATGAACACACACAGACGTGCTTCAGCCTTCCCTTCATCCAGAGCAAGAGCTCTACCATGTGCCGACATTTTTACTTCTGCGTATAATCCGTGTCGTAGCAACCAGACGCAACCGAAGCGCCTCAGATGAAAAAATGTTCTGCGTTTAACAAGAAATGAGTTTAATTAGTTTTATAACTGTCATCTTTATTATTAAAAAAAACAACCATATACGTTTGAATGGCCTAATAACAGAGCGTACTTGTATTGCACTACAATCAGGATAAATAGCATGAATGAGCTAATCATTACCACCGCGACAACCATATAGAGACCTCGGTGTCCCCAGAGGGAGCCGTGTGAATGAATGTCCTCAAGTGAATGAATGTCCTCAAGTTGAGTCAGCGTCGGTTGACTCGGGGGGTGTGGAGATGGAAAGAAGTGGGCCGGCAGCTCAGGGTCGGGCCAAGTTGCATTGTGGGCAATGAAGGCACCAAGTTTTGATGAGGAAGAAGAACACGTGGCTTAAAAACAAAATCATCTCTGGCTCCGCTGCATCCATTTTGACTCTATTTTTCCAACAATGCACTTCTATAACAATGTTGTGTGGTAGGTATTTGCTGTGAGGAGGGATGAAGCATGTTTTCTGACCAGGGCAGCTTCAAAATAACTGAGTTGCTCTTTAGTAAAACCTTGCAATGATGATTATTTGCCCCAAAGAAATGGATTCAAACACACACCGATATTGTTGATTCCTCTGACACATCCACGATGTTTCCCTCCACATGACTTGCAGGAAACGGCTCGATGTGCACTTTACCAGTAAAGTAAAACCAGTGGCAGGCCATCTCTTAAATCATCCCCTTTTCAGAGGCACTCACCGAGATTGTAGTTGTCTCGTCTGGAAGTTCTCCAACTCTTGATACACGCGCTAAAGAGGAGCGGGATAATTTAAGAACTTTATTTATGCATTTCATCAGCATAAATGTTCTTCTGGCACAAGATCAAAAGGATGGGGGAAATCTGAATTTCTTAATGAAAGTAATTTCTTCTTCTTTTATTCCCATCCTCAGGGTCATATGCCTCCGTACGATTAGAGAGTGAACGTGAGAGTTGAGTCTCTGGAGAGAAATGTCATATCCCACAGAGAACGAGGGAAACTTCAAGTTAGCCTCCGAGTCAGTCAGTCTAGGAATCTCTCTCTTTTCTTACAGCAGATTGTCATTCTCTTCTCCACCTGCAACATTATATCAGCAGCATCTTAAACCCCCATTGACCCTGTTTTATATCTTCCAACTGAACTTGGTTTGTTAACTTGGTAGACTGGCCCTTTAAATTCAGATTTCATGTATTGAATCATAAAAATAACTAGGATGCTTGGAATTTGCATTGCTTTTTTGACTAATTCAATGTGTCCACGTTAACGAAAAAAACTGAAAAAGTAAAAACTACATTTAACTAGTTTATTTTAACTACACAATAGATGTTAGTTAAATGGGTGAAACGGTAATGCTGGTCATTATACAGCATATATGTTCATCCCATATAAAACACATGTATCTGTCCCCCTCTGGTTTTACATTGTAGAATGTCTTGCAGGTACAACAGGTGCCAGAGGAAACTCACTGTGTGTGTTGAATCTGTAGAACAGTATGCAAAAATCTATTAATCCCTTTGCCAGGAATTGCCGGAATACATTTGCGCACGCGAAGCTGATTGCCATCAAAAAAAAGTTGCCTGCCATGTATCAGAATCGGCGATCAGTGGCCCTCTTATCTGGGCTCAGACTTTACATATCCTGTGGAACAATACCGCCATTGGTATTTCGCAAGACACACCTCCTCCGCCGGCTGATTTGCCTCGTTCAAACTGTTTGTGGACATATCGTTAATTCCTTTTTAGTAATGTGCAGGAGCTCACCCACATCTGTCATTGTCACCTGTGTACTTCCTGATTTGACAGCCCTGCTATCTCTCTCTGTCAGCAGCCTCAGTCACACCGCAAACAGCAGGGCAGTGATCAGCCTTTGTCTTTGGCAGAGGACGTATCGCTGCTTATTTGAATACACCACCACAAACCCCACGTACGTCCGATTAATGTCTCGTTTTGCATGGAGTGCGCCGTAATCGTGCTAATGTGACATCGGGTCGCCATCGGGAGGTTTTTTTCATTTTTCCATTGTCTGATGTGTTTCAGCCTGAGGTGTCCACACAGCTTCCCCCATTCCTTGTTTGCACACATGAGAGTCAAAGTATGAATCGGCGTGCAAACACCGCCCAGCGAGCCGTCCGTCATTGTTACTGACGGTTTTGACTTTTTGTCTTCTTTTTACATTCTTGAAGAACACACAGTCAGAGCTCGATGAGAGCAGAGATAAGAGATGTAATACATTCAAGAAGAGTGCTCCACTTTAGAGGAAAAGTGCTGCAATTTGACAGGCCAAGAGCGCCGTGTGGTGTGTGATTACGTCCAGGTGGAGTGCTCTGTGGTTGGAATGAGAGAAACATGACTTAAAAATCTTTTCATGGAATTAAAACACATTCTAATGCATTTTATGATCCTTTCGTTCAACGTGTTAACATTCTATATTATCCCAACAACCTCATAAAATAATCGTTCCCGCTGTCGGTGGCGGAGGCCGCCATTCCTGCGCTGGATTCGTACAGGGATTCACAGGAAACAATTCTTCATGTATTCCTTTTTTTTTTCTTTTTTGCTCAAGCTCACTGTTTGGTATTGTGCGGCTGTAGCAGAGCGAACAATCTCAATAATCGCGGTCACAATTAATATTGACTTCTTGATTAAAACAACACAAGTTTGTTTGGCTGTTGCTCTTCTTTTTTTATGCGGTATTAATCTGAACTTAGCTGCTAATGTTGGTAACCGCCGGCGTCGCAAATTCAACCAGGACGTAAACCTTCAGGACGTTTAACTAACGTTTCTACTCATGGGAGCTCGTTTCTTGCTATATTCACTAAACTGAAAGTAGCTACGGCCGTATTCATGGTCTCATTTCTCAAAGCAAATGAAGTCATTGTGTCCCAGCAGTCATTATACCGTCTTAAGAATTCAATCCCAAATGTCACCACATCTATTTGAAATTATACTCTTAGAAATTTCATGTCTCATTTCTCTTTAGCAAGTCTCCATTGAACCAGGAGAGCATATTAGTGAAGAGAGCTGAGAGCAACAAGGACTCTCCCTGCGTCTGATAG